AAAAAAAAAAAAAAAAGAAGGACCAATGATGTAAGGGGTTCTCCAAGTGTAAAATTAACAACTGGGAGGGTAAAAAAATCACACCACTAATTTTGGCAAATTAGCTGAAAAAATTTTTATGTAGAGAAAAGCAGACTTGGAAAATTGTCTTCTGGATAAAACATATTGATCTTCTTCAGGCATCAGCAAATAGAACAATTGATTGTGACCAAGTCCCTTTCTCATGGACCAAGTTCATTCCCAATATTTTAGCGGTCTCATGAGGTAGACTGTATATGATGATTCTCTTCAATAAGATTATTCTCTTTCTGTGAAATATGGTTTTCATTGATTTATGGATATATCTAGAACTATTATTTTGGCAGGTTTTACAAGGCCTTTGTTTCTACACCTTCTCAGAATCAGTTTGGATGCAGCAACTCTTTGACGTTTATGTGGAAGTTCTCATCATAGCCTGGAAAACGTGCAGCCTCTTTTGCAAGAGTGAAAATTGTTGCCTTTAAGCCAGATCTTAAACACTATTAGTTCATTGTGCAAAACACACATGCCAGTGATTAACAAAGAATGTTTACCTAATTTACTTCAGATCTGGTCTCAGTTAAAGGTTAGCTCATCTTTATCAGGTGGCCACAGAAACTATATCCCAGTAGCAGAGTGACCTTTGGAAGCTAGAATTCCAGTGAATGGTCTTGAAGTGAGATCATGGGGGGCAGTTCACTTCATTAAGCAGAGTTGAAAGACTTTCTTCTTTCCAGCTTTCTATTTTCCTTCCTTTTGCTATTTTCTGTAAGTCAGACCTGGTTTGCCTCAATACTACACACGCTCTGTAAACATAAATTAACTACACGAGACAGTTGGCTGCATGGCTGCCAGCCCTGCCCTGGTGGACAAATGACTCTGGGGAGTGCCCTTTTCAATGCTAGTATCTGAGGTGGAGGCCTCCATTCCTCATGTTTTTCATCCACTCTCCCTTTCCTTCCCCTCCCCCCAGTATAGGACTCTCTGCACAAGAGACCAATGGGTTAACCAGCAGGTATAGGCAGCTGTGAGGATAGGTCTCTCTTTTGCCCAGGGGGAGGGAGATATCAGCTTAACCCATGATCACGGACTTTATTCCCTATATCAGGGAGCTCAGAATCCAGCCTCAGTGTTCCTATTAATTTCTTGTTAGTTTTGCAGCTTTGGGTGCCTGCACTTGCCGACAGTAGGCTGTTAAGAACATTTTTTGGAAACCACAAGAGTCTCACTAACCTCCTCTGTCCCAGAGCCTGGGATGGCAAAGCACTACACCAGAAAAGGGCTATGTGGATCACAAAGACAGTGTAGGCATCATGACTGTGAGATAACAGAACAGAGGCACAGAGAGGCTAAGTCACTTACCCAAGGTTACACAGTAAGAGGAAGAGTGAGCCAGGATTTGAACCCTGGTCTGTCTGACATCAAGGCCAGCATCCTATCTAAAGAATGCAGCTAATAATAATACCAGCCTCTTTAGATTTTTGTAAAGATTCGGTGAGAAAATACACGATAAGCCACTTTATGAACCGTGGGTTACAGCTGAGAGTGATAGGTCTTCACTATTGTCCATCGGTCAATTATCTGGGATGACCTGAGGTTGCGCCATACCTACATAAGCCACAGAAAAATTGACTTGTGAAAGAATCAGGGCTGGGCATAAATGAAGGAGAAACTACGTTTAAATGGAGGCCAGACTGAACAGAAACCAAAGGTGGGTTCTAATACCATCAGTCATCACTGTTACCCAAATATGATCCTGCTCCCCTGGGAGGGTGGCCCTGACCTTGTCATTCCCAACCCTGGCACCCCCAGAACAGGCTAGAGTGGTTGTGAAGGGAGAAGATGACAAGACATGAGCTCTCTGGGTTAAGATTAAGCAGACAACAGAACCCACAGAACAGAGAAGTACCTAGATTGAGTACACTGGGGGAAAAGCAACCTTCCTGAGATTTTCCCCAGCGTGCCAAATTCTGTGCTACTCAAGAGAATTCCCACTCATCACTGCCAAATGAACCACGGAAGAGACAGAAAATTTGATCCTGTGTTTCTTTTAATTATGTGGATTACAGACACTCAACTTTGGTTCTATCTTAAGAAGGTTCAAGTTTAAATAACTCCCATTTTTTTCTTTTTTTTTTTTT